TTAAACCAACCGTAAAACAACAAAATTGACTAGATATAACATATATAAAATTATAGTATAAGTAAAGTAATATAATACTATTAATATAAATGATGCATACAAATTATAAATTAGTTTAAAATTAAAAGTAAATAATAATCAATTATTATTATATATTTAATTTAAAAATAATTATACCCGTGCATGAGCACGGGAAAATTACCTAGTAATAAAGTATTAGAATAAACACTGATAGATTTTCTCAACTAACTTTGGATATATGACCTCTAGTTAAAATTTTTGATACCTTATGAAATTAAGAATAACAGAAAATTGTTTTTGCAAAGGTCCATGAAGTGGACAAACACTGTTTTTGAGGAGGTTTCATTTTACTATGGTTTCTAATACCTAGTAATGTATTAGAACAACAAACGGAGCATAAGACACTACCTTGTTAGTGAATTCAACGTCTCCATATTGAATTCAGAATCACCATTAGAGAAGTCATTGAAGGGTTTCCTTTCGTAATGAAAATAAAGTCGCAAAACCTCAATTGTCGACTTCTCCCAACAGTAAGATAAATCGCCTCCATAATCACCTCGTACAAATCTCACAACTTGAAAACCTGGATTCGCAAATCTGCAATGATCTCGTGTATATCCCAAATACTTTTAGTTATGCCAAAGTGACGTGTTTATCAAAAATCAAGGAGACATCAAACAAAAAGATTTGCGGGTAATAAGATTTTCTCCATTTATTAAAATCGGGTAAAAACCATTTTAATCGGGTAAAACCGCTTTGATATAAAACATATCTAAAAAATAATACAGTGGCATTTGGTTGTAAATACTTCCAAAAGAGAAGGGCACCTGAAAAAAGGGCCTTGTGTTTTAATAGTATAGATATGAGAGTTATGATCTTTTATTGTATTGTTATATATGTGTTTTTATTCATGTAAAAGTAAAATATATAAATGAAAAATTTCACAAAATATCTCAACTAAAATTTGTTAAGCTTTTAAATACTCAAACTTTTTCACTATCCAGTTTAATATCCCAACTAATTATTTTATCCATTTTAATACCCAAACTTTATTTCTTTTAAGAAAAAATGACGGTTAAAACTATGAACTTTTAAATTACAACTAAAAAAACTTTCAATTCATGTTTAAGCCAAAAAAAATCCTCATCTATAAAATATTGGTCGTTTTAACTTTTATATATTGTTGATTCGGTCTTTTAAGAAACTAGAATAGTCAACTTTTAAACTCGATTAAAAAATAGACATCTGTTAATTCTTTAAAAACTGATTAAACATTAACAAACAATGTTGTTTTTCTTTTGTAAACACTTAAACATCGTATTCGTAAAACCAAAACCCTAAATCTATTTCATCTTCTTCATTTCCGAGTCAAGATAAATGAAGTCGATTTGGGATTCTAGTTTCACGAAAGAGATGCTTTAAGTGTTTAAAGAAACAAAACAATGTTATTTGACTGATTTTTTAAAACGGAATCGTAACATACATCTATTTTTATAATTACGTTTAAGAGTTGATTATTCGGATTTCTTAAATGACCGAGTCAACAAAATATGAGGGTTAAGATGGCCAATATTTGAAAGTTAAAGATTTTTTTGGCTCAAATACGAGTTGGAAATTTTTTTTTTTTTAATTTGAAAGTTCAAGGTTTAAATTTGAAACAATACTAATAAGTTTCAAAGGAAATTTTTAAAATCTCTAAATTTTACAGAAAATTCTAATTTTATTTTTTGTTTGAGAAAAAAAAGTAAATAAATCTTGTATAATCCTAAATTTTGTAATAAATTATTTAAGTTTTAAATATTGAATTTATTTTTTTCTTAAATAAAATAAAAATTAACTTTTTCCTTCAAAATTAATTTTTAAAACTTTTAAATCCAAAGTTTACTTACATTCTTTCTTGAATCTTTAAGTAAAATTATAAATTTTACCTATTTTTCTTAGATTTTGAGATTTTAAAAATTTCGTTTGAAACTTATTAGCATTGTTAAT